AACACACATATATATATATATATATATAATTTTTTTTTTTTGTTTTTCTGTCTGATTTTGTTCTTTGCTTTAGCTACACTGCTGAATCTTTGTGATTAATGTTTCAGAGGAACTCGCTAACATCTGATAGCTGCATCATTTCTTGTTCTCAGAAGTAGGACTTATGAAGCATATAAACAACACATGGTTCTATCTCTGGCACTGTTTACAACCACTTGTGGCATGAACTATTTGCTTTTTTTTTAAATATGAATTTTTTTTAGATTTGTTTTTTTTTTTCATGGCAAATTCCCTTTGATTGCTTAAATGTATTCATTTTTAAATTGAAAAGCATCCTCCAGTGTTTCAGTATTGTTTTATTATGAAATCAGAATCATAAATATCAAGATTACACACCTTAAACCAGGATAAAAAAAAATGTAACACGTATATGCATATGGAGAACAATACAGTGTTTTCAAGTAATCATTAAAAAATCTTCGATTAGCTTTTGGTCTGTCGGTAAACATTATATCATAAAAGAAAAGCAAATTATGGTGGTTGTAAAATGAACAGCTTGACTTGTTCAGAGTATTAAAATATCCAGGTGTACAGTGTTACATAATCCTTTTTTGTTCTTGTTTTTGTATTTTGTTCAAAAGTGTGTCATGAATGCGAGTGGAACATGCAAGTTTTGAAAAGTTATTTTTCTCCTCTTTTTTTTGTTTTCTTGTTGCACCGAGGCATAAAATTGTTCCAAGCTGTTTGTTTTGAAATGCTTTTTGGCAATAATATAAAGTTTCTATATTATTTCTACTTTGCTCATTAACATTTAACCAAAAAACACATTTCACATTTATTTTGTCTATCTTCCTAAAAACTTTTGTTTGCTACACTTGTTGGAATATAAGTACACACTGTTAGAATTTACCAGTTTGATGTAAATTAATTGAATTTTGAATATAAACTTTATTTTCTTTACATGTGGCTTACTTTTGAAGTACATGTGCCAAAATGAAAAACAATAGGACTTGTGTTCCTATTTTTTTTTCAGTCTCAAAGGTTTGCACACTGTGGCAGTTGAATAGAAACAATATGTGATTGGTTTTTCTATAGTACAAGAATATTTTCTTGTCTATGTAAGAAAGATTTAAAGCTGATGTCTTAAAAGGACTTGCACTGATTGCGTGTGTAATTTTTTTCGAAATTGTTTGATATGAGTGTAGTAGTTGATTGTTATGTTCTTTTTAAATTTTTGTTCTCTGTTTCTGCATATTCTAAAACTATATTAACACTGTTTTCACTGAAATTTTACAATTATTATGTTGAGTGACTGCTCTCTCTTTATGGAAAAGGCCCTGTTTTTGTGAGATGTGAGTAAGTTGCCTTAATTTAGACTTCAAAAATATTAATGTTTATAAGAGAGTTTTGCTGAAAAAAAAGTTATTATTAACTTTAAAATAATTGCACAATACAGGCATTTTTCATGCCCAACACAGCTTAAAGGAGCTTAAATGTAAATTAAGAACCCCTCTGTTATGTAGTATGTTCTATAATTGTTAACTTTCTTTGCACTAACTTTGCAGCAAGCATCCTAAGATGCAGAGACACGTAAACCCCGAATGTAGTTGAAGTGAAAAACAACCTGAAGCACAGTTCTTCAGAAGTTATGTTTTGATTCCACATTAACAAAATGAATGATATTGATTTTACCAAGATACTTGGAAGGTGGGTAAATGAAATATCATTCTTAATTGATTCAGATAGCATCATTCTGGTTTAGGAATGGTTTTCAACAGACAGTGTTTGTTGTACTTTCTTTGAAGATATTTAAACCTTATTTGTTTCATTAAGACTTCAAAATGTGCCCCTGTAAAAGTGATACAAAGTTTTTGTGTAAACAGTATTTTGTTAATGATATCAGATCTCTTGGTGGTAGGTTATGCAATTGTAGAAAACAGCCAGGTCACTTTGTTAGGATAACAATGCACAAGAGGAGGTTTAACTTCAATAAAAAATCCATTGGTTGTTATAACTACTACTCCCAATAAAGTAAGAGGGAAAATGTGCATTTATTTTTGGTGAAGTAAGTTTCAATCAAAATTAGGTAAACTATTGTAAATAAGCCTTATACTCAAAGTTGTTAATGTCTTTGAAAATAACAATTTGAAAATTCTTTCTTGTGTCCATTGATTTGTTTTTTTCAATAAAGTGATTATTTTGAAAGCTCAAGATGAAAATTGAAACTTTTTGTAGCACCGTAAAAGTAATAGGAAATTGGTTTTTATTACAATAGTTCATTGAAACACTTAATTTTTGCTAAATATAAGAAATAACTGGCTTTGCTAAGTGGTTTTTCTTGTAAACCTTAACCTACTTCCTTTCCTGCATAGACTATGATGTATAGAATTGTACGAAAATAAAGAAATGTGTGTTTATACGACCAAAACTAACTAAACAGTGGATTTGTTTTTCACGTGCTCAGATCTGAAAATGCTGTAAGAACAAGAGAAGTCACAATATAATCCTGTGTAATATAAAAACCGCCTCTTGTTATCCAAATTGTAAACGTTCATGAATGTTATCTGCATAATTAATACATTGCTAGGTTTTTACGTTTTTGTTACTGGCTGGTGGCGCTAACTTGTAGAGAATATGTAACAACATTAGCAGAGAAAGAGAATATTAAGTATTTCACTCGATAGTAGATGTGGTATTTGAGCGTAAAAGGAAGCATATTTATTTTATTATGTAAACTGCTTGTGATAGAAATTAATATTCTTTCATACATATCAGCTGTAAATTTAAAAGTTTTGAATAGATAACAGTTTTCTCCATGCTGTTTATTTTCGTGTGAATATTTTTAACCTCTATTAAATACTTGATAAATAATTCAGCATATATTAGTTTTGAATATCTAGAAGTCCGTCAAGTTTACTGTTACTGTGATGTATTGTCATGAGTAAGAACGTAGCACTTGGTGCGTTTAGACGCCAATCTTACAGACCACTAATTACACGCCTCTGTACTTCAGAGAAGCTCGTGTTTGCAACAGTATTTTCATGAACTAGTTTTTAACGTGGCATTAACTGGTGTCACGCTTTCTTAGAAAGAACAAATATACCAAACAGTTTTAGTATGAAATCAGTGAAAGGAAGACATTAATATCTAACGTGATGGTTGTTGTATACAATTGATTTATAATATTTTGTGTTGTATTTGATTTGTGCAATTTGATTTTTTCTGCATCTACTATAATTAAATTTTTGAAACTGTTAAAAAACGTGTTCAATGAATTTTAAAAATTTAGACATCTACGCTGTTATTTAACGTGTTTTTTTTAAACCGTGTGCTTAAAACAGATATGTATTGATTTTTCACAATTCGACTTGTGAAAACTGAAAAAAAAAACAGTATTATATTTCATAATTTTACATTTAAAAATAATGTTAAAATATTTGCCCAGTTTATATATATGTCAAAGTGTTCGAAGAAGAGAGTATGGTTTTTTCTTGCCTATTTGAATTAGTATTAAAAATATTGCAAAGCAAATAGCAGTTAGTTCTTTACCTAAGCTTTTATAAAATGATTGATTTTATAATGATTAGACCTCGGTACTTGAAAACGGTTTAGTTTAGGTAATTAAGAAAGTGCCTGATAATAATTCTTACTCGCAGAAAACGTTTGGTACGTGTATGTAAGTGGCGAAATCGTTGGTTTCAATGAACCTTGTATGAAACCGTAGAAAACAACGCGTAAATCACACGAAAGGCTGAATTTAATTGTGATAATATCCATCCTTTATTCTCACTTGTTTTTGTTTGTTTGTTTTTATTCAAAAAGCACTTGCTATTCCTTGTATTATAATGATTAATAAAAGGCAGGTAAGAATTTGATCCACTTTGAAAGACGCAATTGTTTTTTTAATTGTATGTTAAATTTGTCGTATATATATATATGCTTCGGTTGGATTTTTATGTAAGAAACTGGAGGTGGACTTCAAAGAAATGCTCTTTTCTGTTTGTGAACGTGTTCCAATGAAGACACTGAAATGTTTATGGTTTAACTTAACTATCCTACAAAATATTGCTTTAACTTATATTGTTTGATTTAGTCTGTTGTGTTGAGAAATAACACAGTAAGCCAGCAGTGAAGAAAAGCATCCACTGGCGATGCATTATTTGTTTTTTTCTTTCTTCCTTTTGCAGGGGTTTCCAGTATGTTTTGTTTTGTATATAATTCGAGTCATTGCACAGTGATTCTTGTTCTTGTCTCTAACAAATGATGTATAACAGGTTGTACATTTAGCCAGTATCTCCCTGTGTGTATGAGAGACAGTGCTTTACTAAACAGTAAAAAACTTGTAATGTGATTTAAAAAAAAAGTTTGGTGCTCTTTTCTGTTCTGATTGATTTAAACCGATTTTTAAATTTTAGATAAATTTGTTCATTATGTTTATATCATTCCTAGACATGCAACTAAAGGTATAATGATATCAGATGACAATACCACAATAAATAAAAGTTATTATGCTTTAGAAGTTTTCAGTGAAGGCATTTTTGTTTTCAATTAATATATATATAATTATCTTAATGTAATGTTAATATATATATATATATATATATAACATTACATTAAGATAATCATTGGCTTATGACAGTTAACGGAGGCATGTTAGCTGAACGAATGTTCGTATACGAAAAAGAAAAAAATTTAATGGAAATTGTTTTGACAACGAACACTTCAAAGTCTCAACTAGATTTGTACGGATTTGTATTGGGAGCTTCATATTGATGTGAAACGGATATGCAAAAAAATTGAGTTTAAGGTTAAGATAAGTTTAATAAAGTTATAAAAGGTAAAAAGATAGTTATCACAGACAGACAAGAACGCGTGTTTCAAGACTATATTACAACTTTTTGAAGTATTTACTTTCGCAAAGATTAAAAAAGTTATATCAACAAAACTTACAATCAAATGAAACTCCATAAATGTTTAATATACTTAAATGGAAGTAACAAATTTTCTCTTAATCCAAAGAATACTTTTTTTTTTCACACAGCAATAAAAACATGAAATGTGTGGACGTGGTACACACGTATGTACTGCTTACTGAGGAAAACGCTTAACTATCGCAAATGTTTAGCACTAAACACAACCAGCTTTGATTATAGTATTTGAAGTTGGTGTATATTTTTGGGAATAGGATAAGAAAACACAGTAGAAGATTAATGTAGAAAAATATTTAGTCATTTGTGAAAATCCTTTCAATTGGTTTTTACCAACCACTCTTATCTGCAAATTAGCAATAAGAGATCCGAATGACCAACAGTTTCTGGTACCATCGAGAAACACACTCTTATATGCAAATTAGCAATAAGAGATCCGAATGACCAACAGTTTCTGGTACCATCGAGAACACACTCTTATCTGCAAATTAGCAATAAGAAATCCGAATGACCAACAGTTTCTGGTACCATCGAGAACATTCTTGCTTTCATTTATGGAGCTGATTGTTAGAATCAGGATCTTGAAGTTAACATCTGAATAAACTTGTACCAAACCATAATCATTAATGGGGCTACAAAGGGGGTGGTGGGAAATTTTATACTTTGAGACCTGTGGTGGGTTTTAAATCAATCATGATATTTTTTAAGAAAGGATTCTTTGTAATTATCCTCAACTTTTTTATACAATACGGATGGATCATACACGCCCTTTTAAATATATATGTACAGGATACGAGCATATATTATCCCAGACAAAAAAAATAAATAATAGCTTTACCACTTGCATCTCCGCTTTTCTATTTATTTCATTTTTTTTTTCCAGTTGGAAAAACAGGGTCCGGACCCTGTTGATCCGATTCTGTGATTCCTACATAATATACTGAGATGCACAGTTTAAAATGCAAATGTATAAAATATCTTACAATTTGTAGATATTCATAAACATGACCATTTTGTTCTTAATAGTTATGAACAACTAATATTTTTGGCTTCATGAAGTGGACTCAAAATGTGGTTCGTCTGCCGTATATAGTGATGAAAATATATCGTAAATAACACTAGAGTAAAATGTGCCATTCATTTTTTATTTCCAGAAACGTGAATTTGTGCTACACGGGTCATGCTTAATAATACCGTATAGAGTATTTGCACAACGTTTCTTCAGACACGTCAACGCAGGTAGTTGGGTGGCTTGTCCAGACCCAAACAGTTTTAATCATCTTTGTCCTCAGAAAATTGCATGATTGATAGGGGGAAATTTTAAGAATTAACTCCTATGAGGATAAGAAATTCATTGTATGTTAGACTAATTTTACTATGTATATTTTGGACCTTGTTTTCTGTCGTCAATTCTTGAGTTAGATCTTTGTCTCTCTTAAGCAACTTTTAAAGTTATTGGTCGCTGATGGTTGAAATTTGTATCTTTTATAAATAAATATTCCTATTGAATCATATAATAAAGGGAAATTCCATATTTCTCAAGATTATACTTTTTGATGTGTCCGTACATACATATATGTTGCAATGTTTGAGCTTATCACTTATTCTTCTTGTCCAATGGAGCTTGAAAATATAAAACCAATTAGTTTTAATACTTGCTAACAGATGGCAGTTAATAGAAATGTTAGTGGAGTTTACTCGTTATTTCTCTCTCTCTTTTTTTTTTTTCTTCTTCAATGCTTTCGGAATACGCCAAGGAACTTGGGAGGGCATGAACGAACAACAAGCTATAAAAGAAAATAACTAGTCTGACTGGAGACTAGTTGAGGCAAAGATGATGATTATGGGCTGAGTTGTGTAATTATGGTGTCAAGAAATGCACGATAACATGGTTGACCTGCGTATTTACCTAGCAGTGTATGTCGGTACCAAAATTATAGCCGAGGACCATTTCCATCCTGTGTAGTAACTACAACTTCCATGGCCGCTGCACGCGTCTCACGAACTCTTCATGATGTATAGAGAGCGTACTGTGAATTACATTTCAATATGATAGTTGTCTTGTAAAAGCATTAAAATCCTTTACAACTACTTTAAATACACATTCATAACCGCGAGATAATGCAAAACTGAAAATGAGTTCTGACGGCGTGATTGTAACAATACATTTTGTTCTGTCAGGTTAAACGTATACAATGAAACTTTTCGAATGAGGTAAATACACATATTGTTTTTCTTTCCCGTGATCGCAATATTTAAAACGTTAACTTTTCCACAAAGTGGAACCAGTATCGTCCGAAATATGTGTTGTATAGCATACTCTATTCTTAGTATTGTAACGTTTAAAGAAATACTTTGTGCAAATGTATTTTTTAAAAAAGGCACGTCAGAATAATAATGCAAAACTGAAAAGATTGGCCTATCGAAACTAGTTGGGTGTTTTAGGTTTTTTATTATTCTATAATCACTTGTACATTGTTTAGCTGGTATAATTGTTTTTTTTTTACTGTAAGGCTGTTACGATATTTTGTTCTCACATAAATAATAGTGCATCGAGAAGTAAAAAAAAACTTATTAACATCAGTTTATTTATATAGTTTATATGTATTGTAAAAGTCTCTTCTCCCATAGAAGGAGGCTTTGCAATTTACTTACCAGTAGTTAATGTTAGGTACTCTGAAACCACATGTAGAGCAGTGCACTTACAAGTTTGTGAGGTATCACGATCCAAGCGTCTGGATGGCACTGCTTACCCGATACATCAAAGCTCGTTAGGGTTTACCCAATGAGAGTGGCCCTTACAAGGCAAAGCGCCTAATATTGGGCGTGGTGTTAAATGTGTACTGGCCTCTCTGATTGGTTGTAGATAATCACCACTGCCCTGCCAACGAGAAGGGCACGCTGCAGACGCCTGAATCACGAGAATACATGTTGCGAGTAGGTGCAGATATAATGACTTTCACGAACGTGCTAAGTTCATTTGGAAGTAGTAAGAGTTAAGAGTTGGTGTGTGATTCAGTGTGTCTGGACGATAGTTATGTGTTGATAGAAATTTCAAGGCTAGTGCTAACATTCTTTGGAAGAAAAACACAACCGAGTTCCTCTAAGGTGAATGTGTAAGCTACGGTGGAAAAAATCTGATGTTCTTATAGTTCTTCACATGCGTGTAGTTAAGAGGCCACTGAAACGACGTTAACTTTATGTTCTTTTTGCAGTTCGTCGCAAGGAGCTAGCACCTTAAGTGCCAGATTAATATAAACTGTAAAAATGTCCCGCTGGGTGAGGTGTTTCGTTTGGGCGAATCTGCTAGCTGTATATTTTGTTTTCGCCTCTTCGATGGAAACCTCCGAACTTTTAGGCAAATGTGAGCCCATTCGGATTGAACGTTGCAAAGGTCTGGGTTACAACATAACAGGAATGCCGAATTTAGTGGGTAATGAAATACAACAAGAAGCAGAAATGCAGCTACAAACATTTTCCCCTCTCATTCAGTACAACTGTTCATCTCAATTAACGTTCTTCTTGTGTTCTGTCTACGTACCAATGTGTACTGACAAAGTACCTCAACCAATAGGTCCTTGCCGGCCATTATGTGAAAGTGTAAAGTCTCGCTGTCTTCGTGTGTTAGAAAATTTTGGATTCCACTGGCCAGTCGCTCTTAATTGTTCCAAGTTTCCTCCCGAAAACAACCAAAAACACATGTGCATGGATGGACCAGAACCGAAGGAATATGAAAAGAATGGTTACTCCTATAGGAATAGTCGTCCGAATGAAAGGGTCACAAATATTCCAGTTCGGACGAAACCATCGACGTCACCTAACATGCAGCGTCGTGGGATATGTGAAAAATACAAACTCTCTAATTTTTTCTATTTTATAAACCGAACTCGCCGCTGTGCACACAAATGTTCTGCTGATATTCTGTTTAGCACCGACAACAAAAAGTTTGCCGAGAACTGGGTGGCAGTATGGGCAAGTGGGTGCTTCGCCTCTACTTTATTCACTGTGCTGACTTTCCTCGCCGACACCAACAAATCTCGTTACCCAGAGAGAGCCATTTTATTCTTAAGCGCTAGCTATAATGTCTATAGCATCGCTTACTTCATACGGTTAATAGCTGGACGTTTGGAAGTCTCGTGTCACGAGGACAGTCAACATGGTGTGTCCATCCTCATTCAAGAAGGTCTGGACAACATAAACTGTACCATCGTTTTCACCTTGTTGTACTTCTCCAGTATGGCTAGTGCAGTCTGGTGGTTAGTTCTGACCTTTACATGGTTTCTGGCTGCAGGATTGCGATGGAGCCATGAAGCCATTATGCGACGATGTACATATTTTCACCTGGCTGCTTGGGCCTTACCATCTTTCAAGACTATCGCCATCTTGGTAATGCGCATAGTAGATGCCGACGAACTAACTGGCACATGCTATGTAGGCAACCAGAGTGAAAAAACTTTGATGGGATTTGTAATCGCCCCAACCCTCACTTACTTGTTGTTGGGAGCTTTGTTTCTGATAGCTGGACTGGCCGCCATGTTTTGTTCCAGAGGTCAACAGGAGCCGCCACCGACAAATCCGAACAAAAATGAAAAACTGGAAGTGCTGATGGTTCGGGTAGGGATATTTGCTCTTTTGTACACAGTTCCAGCAACATGCGTCCTTGCAGCTAATTTTTACGAATATGCCTATAGAGATCAGTGGATGTCATCAGAGTCCATATTACGACCAAACGTAGAAATTTTCACTCTAAAAATCTTCATGTCTCTAGTAGTGGGTATTACTACAGGTCTATGGATCTGGTCCAGCAAGATGCCTCAAAATATTTGGATGAAGGCATGGAGAAGATTTAGGTCCGGACATAGAAAACAGCCCTTACCCCCGTATTCGTTTGTCACTGGTCAGCAGAAGCAATTGATCGAGTTTGAGTTAGCTATAGAAAAACCTAAAAGAACAAGAAGGAAAAAAGAAAGGGGAACGCCAGTTTGACACCTGGAAATTCTGTGAGGTGTACTTCTAAATTTGCATGGCATTTAGATAATGTAAATATGTGCATTTTAAAACTTGTAAATAAGATATAAAGTTTAAAATATTTTCTTAACTTCAGTTTTTTTTTTAAGCTTAAATGGTTTCTTGAAATGTAAATATAATGAACCCTATATGTACAGTTGTAAAGTTAGTGTTAAAGTGTGCCATTCTTATGTATTTTAAGGATAATGAGTAATGATGTTCCTATGAATCTTAACCGTGGAAAAAATATATATATTGAATATTTTAAACTTGATGTCTTGTGTACTGTTTAATACACGCTTACTGAGACTGGTACATTTTCCCACTTTTTAAAGTTGAATTTCACATACTACAAATACAGCAAATAATGGAGCTGAAAGTAATACACAAATTTTCATTGTTAGTAGTTAATGATTAATTAAAATAAATACTCGAAAACATCTAATGGATATCGCTAATAAATATAATATTTATAAGAAACTATTGTCTGTGTCAGTATTGTCAACATTTATGCCAGGACATAGCCTAGATCATTATATTACTACTTAATAGTTTGAATCAGACCGTGTTTTACAAATCAGAACTGTGTTAGTTATTGCCTTACATAAAATGAGATGTTTACGCCTTAAGTTTATATTTGAAAATTCGTGGAGTCTCTTCATCCGAAAAATATGACAAAAAAAAAAGTTGAAATCAAAGTTCACTTATTTCTTTTATTATTTAACTCAACCACCCTATAGGCTGCACGGACACTTTTAAACAAAGTTACACCACCTTGATTTATTACTTCTTGTCTTAGTCGATTAACAATTTAACTACGACGAACTTATGGTTCGTTATTGTTTATAGTGTTTTTCTCTTTTTTTTTTGAGGGGGGCAGTGTCTGAAATTAGTACTAAAAATATCAAATTCGCACATGTAGTGTATTTTCAATCTCAGTTTAGTAGAAGTTTTGTAGCAAATATATATCACACCTTGTGTCCCTTACTTTTAGTTACCTCAGTTGTCTACTTGACAGTCTTTTTGATGGCCAATATAAAAACAGAATACTGATTGTGGTGATTTTTCTTTACACTAGAAGCTTTCTAACAAGTGATCCGAGTAATTTTTACCTTTGTTACTGTAACCAAATATGCTAAATAGTGCAAACGTGGTTGAAGTCACTCAAAAAAAAACCACAAAGAACAAAATGTAAAAATCCCTATATTATTCTTGTTGAGACCTTTTGTTACATATTAATAAGTTTAATATGGACAATACAAGTGTTTTCAGGAATCATAAAATATTTGTTAAAACTGACGTAGGGTTAGGAAGAAGAAGGACTACGAAATTGGTGAAACACATTAGTTATAAATTTTGCTTTTAACAGTTTAAGTGTTCTTGATTTAAGATTGCAAATGTAATATAAACACGTTTCTTTTACCCCTTTTTGTTTTAACTGAGAAACATGCGCTTTAATGAAAGAAAGTGAACTGTGATATGAAACGTGTTTTACAATCTTAAGCTTCTACACAGTGAAGCAGTGTAGTTTAAACCTCCCTTTTCAGGAAAACAAAACGTCATCAATGGAAGTTTGGTAAAAGAGTTTTCCGAATCTCAGTATCATGCAGTTTTTATTATTCTCTGTTTTTGTTTATCAACATCGTGACCAGATACCAAATGTCTCTGGGTTTTCAGTATCTACGGGTCCTAAGTTCGATATAACATGTACTTATACACATCTGTTACATTTCAATTTTTTTTTTATAATGACGACCCCAGAACAACGCCTCATTTTATTTATCTTAATTGTTTCGTGGACTTCGATCTTTTATAAACCACGAAGCCTATCCGTGTGAATAACTTGAGAAGAATTAGCTACTTCATTTCTGAGTGCACACAATGTTTATTCTTTACTGCAGTGTAGTAAAGTATACTAACTAAATGCCCTGCTCAACTGAGCTCATTAAGGCTTAGCGGGTGCTGGCTTAGTCTACAGGCTGACGGCCTTGCTATGTGTAGTGAGTGGTTTAATGACTCCAGCTCGGCGCCAAGCCTCAAGTTCCTCTTGAAAGGAAGGCCAAGATTGCAATGCAGCACTAACAGAAACAGCTGTGGGGTGGTAGAAGGTGCTGTGTTCTTGTCAGGTTGACTTTCCCCCTACAGTCCTGTCATGAGACCTCTCAGCAGTGCTTTCTTTTTAGCCTTAGGGGACAGAAATGTTTAACGTTAGCATTCTAATATGAAAATGTCAACTATTTTCACGAAGTTATGAAAGTAAGTAAGTATGAATTAATTTCTTTTTTTCTATTTGTATGTATGATAATAATCTCCATTCAATTTGCACATTCATCTATAGGTATAAAACAAACAAATCAATTAGCAGAAAGTAACCATCTTTTAGTTTTAGTTACAGAGTGTAGAATTCAATTTATATGTTGCAAGTTAGATTTGAATATTTGAATTTTTTTATGTCACTTAGTTGGAGTTAGTACATCAAGAGTATCTTGATATGACAATTATTTATAATTTCTCGCAAAAACATCGCCAATATGGTTAAAAGAGTTTATCTAATTATTTAACTATCCCTTAATTTAACTTTGGGTTCTTGACAAAACTGTGTGAGTGATATACAAACGGCTCCAGAAGATGTCCATCCATCACCAGTCTACAGGACCTTACTGGACAGTAAACACATCAATAATGTAGCCCTGACAGATAACCGCGAGCGCGGTACGGATTAGTGTTGAGACTCAAGCTAACTCTGTCTCAAGAGTCTTGACAAGTCTGAGCTAGTGATTGGTGCGTTGGATTGTTTTACTTGAAGTACTGGTAGTTTTCAACAAGCTATATTTTTGATAGATAAGGCTATTCTTGTGATCTACTTTTCCTTCTTATTGTTGGTGGAGGGCTTATAACGCTAAAACTCGGGGTTAGATCCATGTAGTTGGCACAGTGCAGAGAACCTATTAATTAGCTTTGTGCATAAGCAAACAAATATTATGCTGGCGTGGCTAAGCAATTATATGATAACAAAAACCTCATTTGATTACTTTTCTAGGATTACTTCCTGTTAACAAAACATTACTATTAAGTATACCAAGTGGAGCTTTATGTATTGTGTGAACGTTCTAATTCTGGATCACTGGTAAATGCTCTTTGTGTAATACAAAACAGCTTTAACCTGTATAATTATAATTTTCATTTAGGAATAGAAACCCAAAAACTTATGAAATCTATATGTCTTATAACAGAGTATACGAAATAAACGTTCGCTCCTGTTAACACAAAACAGTGAACCTATAATAAGACATTGACTTAAGAAGATCAACAACAAATACCTTATTAGTAAATTATAAAGGAGTTATGTGCTTGTTGTTGACTAGACTGGTGGCGCCACTCCCTTAATACTTTGTAGATTTTGTAATACTTGGAAATATGAATGTAAGACGTTATTTAAACTTTACTATACTTACATCTGTAAAGGAATATATATATATATATATTTCAAAGCTTCAAGTTTAATATTGAAGTAGCAACACGATAAAATTGACATTTTTTAAAATCAAATCTCATAAAACAGCTGATATGTTTGTTTTTGTAACTTTGACCGAAAATTATTTTAATTTTTTGATAATCACAATGTTATAATAGTCCCGCTCTTTATGTTTGTGAAGGCAGTAACTTTTGAATGCCTGTGATCAGGCCTACATTTATCTTGATGACTTCAAGTTCAGACATCATTACCATTTTCTTTCCACACTCTGATTGCTGGAAACAGATAATGATAACTAGATAAAAATAATCAAATCCATCGCATTAATGTAGGAAACATGGACTCTTGTTAATGTAATTAATTTTACTTACATTTTTAACTTGCTTAGATACAATGCAAAAGGGATAGAAATAGTATTTTCTTTAACGTTTGTTCGAACGCGTAAGTTTGGTATTTGTTTGACCTCTAACCTCTCGTAGTACTGATGAGACAGTACACATTTTCATATCTTTACAGTTTAGAACATAATATATTATATAATATGATAATTTTATACGATATATGAATTCTTAAAATTCAGACTACTACTCTCATATTCATAGCCTAAAGATATTTGAATCTATTACAATATCGTTGGTTTGATATTTTTAGGGGCAAAGTATAGTGGCAATATCTATATAATACGCTAAAAGCGTTGATTTCTTTAAATCGCCCACATAAAAGAAGGCAGATCATTATACCTTTGTGGAGGAGTTCATATATATAACTAACTAACTACTGTATTAAGTACTTTTACGCTATCAATAGATTTAGGCTTGTTGGTGGGACAAGGTTCTGTTAAAAACAAAAATGAAATGACGAGGAGATCGTGTATAGTTACGCACCTTTCTCACCCCAGGAATTTTAGGGTCGTGTAAAATGTATAGTTGTATTTAATATTAGTGACAGTTTCCGCAAGATAACCCTAAAGAATGAAGGAAACGCAAACCACGTGTGATCAGCTTGGCTGTCGAGGATCAGGAAACATCAGAACCGAAACCTCGCCGAGGCTTGTGGAGGAGCTTAGGAGGGCGAAAATCTTTGTTTGGGGGATAGAGTAAATCTGTCTAGCGCTGGCTGCACCCACAACGGTGACAAATGGCATATTTTAGATATCAAGTAACAGTCAAAAGACTAGGGTGATGTTGGAGCTTGACGTTGCAAAAATGAACCAGATGTTGAGAAATACACAAGGAATTACAATATTGTTTTGTTTTATGTTATGTTGTTTGAGGAGAAGAAACGTGTAAGCAATTAACATCTCGAAATTTAAACTCATAAACAATGTGATCATTCATTTATATGTTAAGAAATGCATTTTAGAAAGCCAGTTTGCACGTGCAAATCTACTCTTAATTCAACGGTCCAAAAACCAAGATCAGGGTCTGGGTAATTAGTTGGGCACAGGTTCGCCACATCTTAGGTCTCCTTGTTCTATAGAACTGTATCAGACGGCAAGAAATTTATTATAACGGTGCTGGACATTATATATTAAGCTTAGACCTTTTTCAAAGCTGTAGTTTAAGGAAAGACCACTGGGAATGCTATATATTAAGATTAGACCTTTTTCAAAGCTGTAGTTTAAGGGAAGACCACTGAGAATGTTATAACAAAATAAATATTAGCGAATCATGTTGTCATTTACACATACCTACAAAGAAAACGTTTTACATAAAAGACCAAAAGGATTAATTTGATACACTGGTTATCCCCACTACTGCTGATTCTCTGTAGATAACTTCCCACTAATATTATACCATACCTATTTTTTAGTGTTTTCTTATCAGTCTTTAGTAACGCTACAAGGTATTTCTGGCATGTTTGCCTGGGCGAAAGTTAAATGTATCAAAGGCATTGAGATGCTGTTGTATTACAATCTCACTCTCGTGGATGTTGAAGTTAATATCTAAAACAAACGTAAGATATATAAGATAAAGAGATGTTTCGTATGTATTTACGCTTCCTT